GAAGGCTGAGTCAACCCTGAGCCGGTGAGATTTGAACCGCTGAACTGCTGATCTAGCAGTAGCCTGCAGTGCTGCATTTAACCACTGCGCCAAACCAATTCTATTCTCCAAACAGATATCACTATGATTTCTACGTTATCTTATATGCCGAATGGTTTATGTACACAAGTAAATAAACATTAAAACATTAAACTCCAATAAAAATTGCAAGCTAAAATCTGGTTTATTTTAAAATATATGCTTGTACAGGTAGTCCTGCGATCTCCGCTACCGGTTGAACCGGTCCGAACTGGCTGAATACCACCTTTGATTTCTAGTGCACACAACATGGCAAAGAAGTGAGAACCTTTGATTTTTATAGTAGTGTGTTTTCAAACATGAACACAATTCACCCAAGCAACTTTGTGCTATAAACAAACAAAGGAATTTATGAAATAAATTAGAACTCACTGAAAAGAATGTTTTTTACTGTAAATGAGAAATAAGTACCAAGAATACAAACTTGTTTATCAAGACACCAACAGGATGAATTTTTAAAACAGTTTGTTCCCAAGAAATGTTCCCTAAAGTATTTAAACATGGATGGTGAAGGGGGGAAAAAGACCACGTTCTCACCAACAGCCCAGCTTGCTAAGACAGAACACAATATAAATTTCCAAACAAACTAAAATATATTAGAATCAAAAGACATATGTAAGACAGAAATATCTTGTCGCAAACCACACTTCAGAAGAGTTTATATTTCAGCCGTATCTGCCTTAATTAAAATACTTGCATAGCAACAGTTTGGCTAAAGCTGTGACAGATTTAATCTTCATGCCAACTTCTCTGTTTGTGAAAGAAACTGTGCCAAGTGTAACACATTTCACTGTAATGAATTTTAGAGACAAACAAAAAGGTTGCTGGTAAAATGTGCATAATATACATGAACTTCCCTTTCTGGAATTTTAAAGACCAGGTAAAAGGTATTTTACTTGTTCATAATGCAAAAATTATTTGGAGGGCCGCGTAATGGATAATGAAATCTATTTTCGCACCATAGAGTAGGTGGTCTAAAGACCTCCTAACCAGATTTATCAGTGGAGTCACATTACTGATGAGAGC